TACAATATGTCATGTTTAATCTTGATTTAGCTATTCTTTAATTGTATTTATGAGTCTACTTTTTTAAGTGTAACTGACAGTACTTTTAATATCTTGTTTTCCTACTTATTTGGTTGTAGAGTTATAACTTATACGCCCATCCCTAAAATGTGCATGGTCGGGTCAGAAGATTGTTTAATACAAACAAGTGTGATTTATATTTGCTTCTGCAAGAACAGATTTGAATTGATTTAGAGATTCTGCTTTAACAAGATAATTTGAAAATGCATTCTATTCTTTTAAAAAATGAAGAGGAACAGTAAGCACTGTCTAAACATTTCTAATGAATGGCCATGTTTAAATTGGCAGATCATATAATCCTTTAAAAAATGTTATATATCTGAATGAGGTTAACGCAAATTCTGCTGTAAATTAGTAAACATAACTAAATTTTTCAGGCACTCAGAATATTCTAAATCTCTTAAATATGGTATTTGTTTAGTTACTTTTATTTTTCAATGCCTGGGCGCTTAAAATATTTTTTGCACTATTTGAGTAGCGATTAATTAAATGGGGCGCTTATTCAAATGGGGCGCTTATAAAAGCAGAGTGGAAATTTAGGGGGTGCTAATGGAGGTAGATGAAAATCGAGGGATTCTTATGAGAACTTCTTAAATTCAAGAGTTAAATTTTGAGTGAAAAATTATTATATAAGGACATCAAGAAACCGCAAATTACGAAGTGGTGCGGTGGAAAATATAATCGTCCAGAGAGCATGGCTCATCGTGACAAGAATGTTGTGAGTACTTACATAACAGCAGAATAGCAGATAAAATTAGTGGTGGTGATTAGCTTGTTGTCCATCGGCCGATTGAGATTAGCAAGATGGCATATGATCATTGCAGGTTTTCTTGAAAACTCATATGAGAATGTGTTAAAGGTGCAAATTGTTCGAAAATGAGGGGGGCGCTTATCCAAACAGAGCGCATATGTAAACGGAGCGCTTAAGGAAATTTTCAACATATTGATTAGCCTCATTTTGTAAGACATTTTCATTGTAAATTTAAATTTCATATTTGACCACCAGCTAACTGTGAGCGACCTCCATTGGTTCTTAATGGTGTGGTAAATTCAGATCTGTCTCATGGAGGTAAAACAACATTTACATGTAGAGATGGATACACGTTAGTTGGTGTCACAAGTACTTTGTGCCTAGATGGACAGTACCAGGATAAATTTCCAGTATGCTATGGTAAGTAAATAGTGTTGTTGTTTTGTCTATTAAAGATTTGCTGTCGTTTATTATATGAATGCTAAAGGTGTTGAATTTTTAGCTTGTAAAACTTATACAAACTTTTCTTTTAGCTAACTGTAAGGCATCAATTAGTATAGTCAATGGTCAGTACACCGGAAGCTTCAATCATGGAGGATCCATCATATTCACATGTGATGTCGGTTACACATTGGTAGGAGAATCAACAATTACATGTGACAATGGTCAATATAGTTCATCATATGCAGAATGCAAAGGTACACTATATTGTCTTTAATCTTGAGCTATCAATGGACAGTATTTTCAATGTCTATTTTCCTATTTACTTACTTGGTTGCAGAGACCAAAGCAATATAACTTCTACGCATATTTATAAAATGATCTTGGTTTGGTCAAATGAATGTTTGATACAAACAAGCATGATTGATATTTGCTTCTGCAAGATTGGATTTAAATTGAATTACAGACTCTGCTTTAGCAACCTAATCTGACAATACATTATGATCATTATCAAGGAAGTAGGAAAAGCATAGTTATTTTATAATAATGTTAAAATGCTGTTAAGTATTTTCAATTCAATTTTTATTATTTTATCAATTATTTCATACTTCTGTTTATTTGTATTTTGATATATACGCTTTGATATATATGCTTATATGCGCTTATACGAGAGGGGCGCTTATTCAAACGTCGCGCTTATTCGCTCGAGTATGGTAAGACAAAAATATTGCTGAGAAAACACATTGATTAGCCTTAGTGTTTAAAACATTGTCGTTGTAAAAAAAATAATCTATTTGACCAACAGCTAATTGTGATCGACCTCAATTAATTCTTAATGGTGAGGTAAATTCAGATCTGTCTCATGGAGGTAAAACAACATTTACATGTAGAGACGGATACACGTTAGTTGGTGTCACAAGTACTTTGTGCCTAGATGGACAGTACCAGGATAAATTTCCAGTATGCTATGGTAAGTAAATAATGTTGTTGTTTTGTCTATTAAAGATTTGCTGTCGTTTATTATATGAATGCTAAAGTTGTTGAATTTTTAGCTTGTAAAACTTATACAAACTTTTCTTTTAGCTAACTGTAAGGCGTCAATTAGTATAGTCAATGGTCAGTACACCGGAAGCTTCAATCATGGAGGATCCATCATATTCACATGTGATGTCGGTTACACATTGGTAGGAGAATCAACAATTACATGTGACAATGGTCAATATAGTTCATCAAATGCAGAATGCAAAGGTACACTATATTGTGTTTAATCTTGAGCTATCAATGGACAGTATTTTCAATGTCTATTTTCCTATTTACTTACTTGGTTGCAATATAACTTCTACGCATATTTATAAAATGATCTTGGTTTGGTCAAATGAATGTTTGATACAAACAAGCATGATTGATATTTGCTTCTGCAAGATTGGATTTAAATTGAATTACAGACTCTGCTTTGGCAACCTAATCTGACAGTACATTGTGATCATTATCAAGGAAGTAGGAAAAGCATAGTTATTTTATAATAATGTTAAAATGCTGCTTAAGTATTTTCAATTCAATTTTTATTATTTTACCAATTATTTCATACTTCTGTTTATTTGTATTTTGATATTTTATCCTTTGACTGCTTCCCACTTTCGAACTTGTTGGAAAACGATCTTTTAATTGATCGAACAAGTCTGTTGATAAAGTTTTACTGTATTCATATATTGTATTTATACTTATATATATTTTACTGTAAATTTGTTACAACTCGAGTTTAAATAAAGTTTGAATGAATGAGTGAATGAATGAATGACCATGTTTTCTTGAAACAGTATCAAGTTGAAAAAAATAAATATTAAATTGGCAAATGTTGTAATCCTTTTAAAAATTGAATATATCTGATTGAGGGCGGCACAAATCCTCCTATAAATTAGTGCGCCTAACTTTATCTTTTTTTATTTAGTACTCTTAAATCTGGTATTAGTTAAGTTACTCCTCTTTGGACTTGACTATTTTGTTCATTTCAATGACTTTTCTTGAGCATCAAAACGTTCATTTTTCTCAATATCACCTATGATTCTATTCTACTTGAGGGAAATGCAGAAGACAAAATTATTGCTGAGAAAACATATTGATTAGCCTCATTTTGTAAGACATTTTCATTGTAAATTTAAATTTCATATTTGACCACCAGCTAACTGTGAGCGACCTCCATTGGTTCTTAATGGTGTGGTAAATTCAGATCTGTCTCATGGAGGTAAAACAACATTTACATGTAGAGATGGATACACATTAGTTGGTGTCACAAGTACTTTGTGCCTGGATGGACAGTACCAGGATCAATTTCCAGTATGCTACGGTAGGTAATTATGTGTTTTTGTTTTGTGTTTTTAAGATCCTTTTAATTTCCTGTTATTTTTGGTCTGTGCGAAGCACTGACCCAGAGCCTCACTGTTGTTCTTGTTCTTGTTCTTGTCAGGGGCGGCACCAGGAATTCCCTGACGAGTGGTCCAAGCTCCCTGACAAGTGGGTCCAAGCTCCCCAACACCCCCCCTGTCGGGGAAGCCTGCTATGGTATTCTTTATTTAAAAAGCATAATTTGATGGCAAACCATGCAAGTTAAGAGACCCCCTGTAGGCGGTACTAACCACATGTCGGAGGCACCAGTCCCCTGTCGGGGAAGATCTGGTGCTACCATGGCAACTCTTACAATCGCGATAGTATATAACACCTTGCACATACGGTAAACTGCTTGCACTAAATAGTTTTTAATCCTTGAAATTTGACAGCTTAGAAAGCATACCTAAATTGTACTTTTGGTGGTCAAGATTTCATTTTTCCCCGACGTCATTGCTCGAAATTTCCCGACAAGGGGTCCAAGCAAGGGGTCCAGAGGTCCCTGACATGGGGTCCTTTGCCCTCCTGGACCCCCCGCTAGCGTCGCCCCTGGTTCTTGTTACAACTTAAAAACTTCAAAAGTGTCCATCGTCGCCAGTTTTGAATGGACGTGCATGAAACAGGGGTGGCACCAGTGGGGGGGCCGGGGCCCCCTGTTGTGGAGAGTTCCAACATTTGTTTATTGCTCTTTTTTCAAGTTGGACCCCAGGGTTTCCCGTACACCTTCAAAACAAAACAGGGGTTTCAAACTGAAAGCATCCAGCCTCCCCAGTTTTGAACGGACGTGAATGAAATTCTGTACACATAAACTAGAGGTGATTTCCAACATTAGTCTATCGCCTCTTTTTTTTAGGTTGGAACCCAGGGTTCCCCCTACACCTAAAAATACAATACGGGGGTTTCAGCAATGACTGTACGTAACTGATATTTCCCTCTAATAGTGTAGCGTCGCATGAATGGCGTGGTCAGTTAAGAATGTGTTCTAGAGAAAAGGTCAAACAGTTCTCATCCATGTTCATTAAAAAAGAAATTTAAAACCGAGGCGCGATTCAAACTCGCAACTTTCGGTTCCCTACTACACATCGTTAATCGACTACTCCATCTATACTGTAGTAAGAATATAGGTCAAGTTGCATGGATGGCGTGGTCGGTTAAGTATGTGTTGTAAGGAACTTAATTTCGTGAGTTTGAATCGCGTACTTAGCAAGTTCGAATTGCGTATTTGTTTATTTTTTTATTTTGTCAAACAATTCTCATTCATGTTCATTAAAAAAGAAAATTAACACCGAGGCGCGATTCGAACTCGCGACCTTCGGTTAAGGATGTCTTCTAAAGAACTTAAGGTTGTCAGTTCAAAACACGTCTTGTATTCAAATTTTTTTTTTCCAATTTTATGTGTTTTAATTTTGCACAAATGTTCATTCTAAATAATGTTTTTTTTCTTGTACAAATAAACATTCTAATTATTTAAAAATTACTGTATGTTATTGGCATTACCACTAATAGGGCACGTTGCATGAATTGCGTGGTCGGTTAAGGATGTGTTCTAAAGAACTTAAGGTCGTGAGTTTGAAAGGCGTCTTGGTATTCATTTTGTTTTTTTTCCTATTTATTTATTTATTTTTATTTTGTTTAAATGACCATTCTAAGTTGTATTTTTTTTTGTACAAATAAAGATTCTAATTATTTTAAAATTTCTATCTTTGTAGCTTGTTGTAAAACTTGAACAAATTTTCTTTTAGCTAACTGTAAGGCATCAATTAGTATAGTCAATGGTCAGTACACTGGAAGTTTTAATCATGGAGGGTCCATCATTTTCACATGTGATGTTGGTTACACGTTGGTAGGAGAATCAACGATTACATGCGACAATGGTCAATATAGTTCGTCATACGCAGAATGCAAAGGTAAATTATCTCTTCCTTTGGCAAAGGAATTTCAAAATCTTGATGATGATAAAAATGAAAATTATACTAATATTTCTAAACAAAACAATAGATTAAATTTTAATGAAGTTGAATGCCAGTACATTTATGAGCAAATAAATAAACTTTCCTTTAAAAAAGCCACTGGTGAGGATGAAATCCCTGCTAAATTAATAAAACTTGCAATTAATTCAATTACAGCTCCTATAACTTACCTAATAAGTATGTCATTAAAAACTGAAACTTTCCCTAACTTTTTCAAAATGGTGGTTGCAAAGAGTCATGCAATTATCGTCCAGTGTCAATTTTGCCCATTTTATCTAAAACACGATTTTTTTGATCAGATATATCCTTTCATTGACCCTCTAATTTATGAACAACAATCAGGATTTCTACCAAATTTCTCAACTACTTCCGCTCCGTTAAACATTACTGAAGACTGGATTGATGCGATTGATAAAGGTAATCTTATAGGATTAGTAATGTTAGATCTTAAAAAAGCTTTTGACACTGTTGACCATGATCGTTTAATTAATAAGCTAAACAACTTTAATCTTAATCCACATGTAATATAATGGTTGAACAATTATCTGCAAAACCGAACACATGTAACTAAAATAAACGAAGTGACTTCTGAACGCTGCCGTAGCAATAGCAGGATACCACAAGGTTAATTTCTTTGACCATTAATATTTATACTTTACATAAACGACCTCCCAAACTGTGTTTCTAATTTAATACAAGTATTTATGCAGATGATACAGTAATCCATTGTATTGCCAAGAATGTTAATGATATAGCAAATAAATTTAATTCTGATCTAATAAATGTTAAAAACCGGCTAATAAAAAATAAACTATCTTTAAATGTCAACAAAACTGAATATATGATTATAGGTACTCATCAAAAATTAGCAAAAATAAATTACTCAAATCTAAATATAAACATCAGTGGTATAAACATAAAGAGTGTTGATCACTGTAAACACTTTAGGGGTAATCATAGATAAAATCAAACTTGATAATGTAATAAAAAAAATCCTTCCTGGATTATACTACCTTAGCAAAAGTAATTATATCTTGTCCGAAAACATACAGTCAACGATGTAATTTTACTTAATGCAATGTTGTGTGGGGACGATTCAATCAAACTCTACAAAATAAAATTCAAATATTACAAAATAGGGCTGCTAAAATTATTTCAAAAAGGTCTCAGGATATCATTCAAATTCAGAAGCACTTAAACTGGAATAGTTTAAATACCAAACTGTATCAAGATGAAGCTGTAACCATTTTTAAAATAATGAATTCTCAAATGCCAACTTATTTAAACATACATTTAAACACATTTCAAGAGCACAATAAAACATATATGACCAGGTCTAATGATTTACTTGAGGTACCCAAACCAAGTACTGAATATAAGAAAAGAAGTTTTTCCTATCAGGGAGCCATTGTCTGGAATAACCTAAATCTCAATATGAGAATGGCCCCAAATGTTTATACTTTAAAAAAAATATTAACAAATAATTGAAATTTCTTGCATAAGATAATATATATATTTTTGGTTTCTTTTTACTTCTTTATTTCTTTTTTGCTTTTTAACAAAAAAAAATGTTAAGTCTTTCTTTTGTCTTGTAATTGTTTTTGTAATTTACATTTTGTTAATATTTACTTTTAAAACGGCCTTGTTAAAAACATTTGATTTGTGATCAAGTTTTTCGTTTACAAATAAAGTAATTATTATTATTATTACCCTCTAGTATGTTGAACATAGCGATTAGATTAAATAAAATAGAACAATTATTCATGACCACTAAAAGAAGATTGGCCTAATTACAGACGGAAATACACAAAAATTCCACAAAAATGTATTACTGGGCCTATAAACCTCCTAGTAAATAGGTTACCATATTTCTTCTAGCTAGACAACTCAAGACTTCCATAGTTTACTGATAAATTATTGTTAAAACTAAAAGTAACGTGACCCAAAATATTGATATTTGTCCGTCTTGTTTGGAATGAACAGCTGTTAGTTGACCTGCTCGCTTCGGTCGCTTACCCTCTAGTATTTTAAATTCTAATATTAATATTAATGCGCTCCTTAAAATTTTTAATGAAAGACCACGTTTTCTTGAAACATTCAATAGACAAATTCTATAATCGCTTGAAAATTTTAAATATCAGATCTTATATTTGACCATTCAGCTAACTGCGAGTGTGCTCCATTTGTGCTTAATGTTGACGTAAATTCAGGTCTTTTCCCATGGAGATAAAACTAAATTTACGTGTACAGACGGTTACACAATCGTCTTGGTGTGAAAATTCTCAAGAAATTACATTTGAAATACCTAGGCCTGATGCAAAGTTTACAGTCCACATTTGCCAGTCATTGTGCTCGCGGGAATAAATGCACTGGCCAAACAAGTGACTTCATTAAAGAACAATAGAAACACAGTATGCCAGCTCTCCAGGCAATCTGCAGATTTGACCTGTACTGTTGATGGATAGTCAATAAACCAAAGAAAAAGATTTGTTACTTAGGTTTTGGTGTTAGAACAACAGCTAACAGGAGATGTAATTTGCTCTTGTAATCAAAGTTAAATTAATTCTATATAGAAATTCCAGTCATTTTAAACACAAAACACGTAAAATCCTTGTACTTGTGTTGAGTCTGATGGGTGCACGGTATAATGGTATTTGTAAAGCAAATATAATCAGGCTTCAGCGTGCACAAAACAAAATGTTGCAGTTTATTTTGGGTAAAGGTCCTATATATCATCTTACTTTTTCTGATTTTCATTTAGTAGTTTTTTTAAATGTCGAATATCATGTATTACAACTAAATCAAGTGTTTAATATATATTAAATAGCTCTTGATTATATGCTTAATGAGTTTAGAAAAATTTCCGATAGAAACTCACATTTTACAAGAGGAAGCATCTCTGACTTTGAAATCAAGTTTCAGCTTATATAATCAAAATTCCACTTATATTTCTACCACTTTGTGCTATAACAGTATAAATTTATAGAATATTTTATCCATACATATCAAGGCCATTGGTTTCATAAGTGTTTTTAAAACTAAAGTTAAAAAGTATTTTTATCAGCAACTGCAACTTGTTTGTGATTAAGATGCGTGGTTTTGTTCTTTTTTTGCTTTCTGTTTTTGGTGTCTGTGTAAATTTATATATATTTATTTATATTCATCGCAAGCATCAGAACAGCACGAGACTGTCAAAATATATATGGGCACTGAAAGAAAGCAACACCCCCTTCACCATTAAATGGAACATAATAAAACGAGCACCCCCATATAACAATATCACTAAACGCTGCAACCTATGCCTAACAGAAAAGTATTACATCATCGCATCCGACCGTAACAAAACATTAAACAAACGATCAGAGTTGATCTCCACCTGTCGTCACCGCAACAAATACTTGCTCAAGAACTGTTAATTTCCACGCCCACTTTCTACAAACCTCACGCCCATCCATTATAATATACCTGTTCCTAATGAAAACATTTTCTCCCAGCTGTAAATTCCACAGCACGTATATATATATATATACCATCCTTTCTGCTCAATAACTCAGACCTGACGATTGCACTTTGCATGAAACTGCAGTAGTCGAAAATAAAATCCTTACACGTATCGTTGTCTACCTACATTATATTTGCTCTACCAAGATTTTACAGTGGCATTGAGCACTGTTTCCCAAAAAAAAAAATTGAGAGATTTTTTCTTTATATTTATATATATTTATTTATATTTTTATTTATTTATTCATTATTTATTTAATTTTTTAATTTTCAATTTTTTATTTTATTTTCTTTTCATTTCTTTTCATTTTTCTTTATTTGTTTCTGGAGCCCTTTGGAAACAAACCTTCAGGTTTAAAGGGTTATCCTATGCTCCCTCTGACCTGCTTTCCTTTTCTGATGCATATAATTGTGTATTTCTTTTCTTCTATTCATGTTCTGTGGATTGTCTGATGTTTTTACCTTTTTGATGTTTTCCTATGTTTATTTTGAATGGTTTTGCTTTGTAAATTTTTTCTGTAATGTTTAAGTGAGCATGAAATAAAAACAAAGAAACAAATATTAAATACGTCGTTCCACAACTCAGTGGCCAACTATGGGCTGTACAAAATTCAATATTAAATGAACGCTTTTGACCTATCCACCATGCTTTTGCTTCAGGTGAATTTCTCCCCAACAAGTTGGTCTCTACTTCAATACTACATTTGATGAGTATTTGTGTGAAACTCCCGAATTCATCAAAGAAATTTCTAACAAGCAAAAATAAGTTTGCGTGCCGGGAATCCAAAATATTGATAAAGGCATAGGAATAAAGCTTTTGTAAAGATACATCAAAGGAAGCCAGAGATAGTTCATGTTAGCTGGTTCGACCTGAAAGATGCCTTTGGACAGTTTCGTACCAACTCATAAACTTCTCCCTCAGTAGTTTCAATTTACACACAAATGTCCTACTCTGTATTCAGAATCTATACTTCACAATTTCTGGAACGATTTCCACAAAATACTGGTCATCATTTCATCTTTTCAAAAAAGGCATCTTCAAGGGATGCCCATTGTCCCCTATCATATTCTTAATGTGTTTTGACTCTACAATTAATTTTCTGGAATTAGAAGCCATCCATAGATAACCTTGACTGTTCAAAAATTATTTCTATCCCATTTAAATATGATTTTGCCTAATAAGTAGGAATAAACACACCTATCAGTCGCTCACTGGCCTTTGTCATGGGAAGACCCTCTAATATTATTTTTGATTTAGAGAATCCCATCCATGAAGCGCTATATAAGAACAACACATTATTATTTTTTTGATCCATAGAAAGTAATCCACATAAATTCATAGAGTCAATCATTCAGAATCAGATGTATTCACATACTTTCATGATTTAACTAAGGAACAAATGTGTAGGATTGATAGCTCCCTCGTTCAGAACAAA